GGACTGAAATCGCTTTGGTGATTTCGGTCAGATGGGTTTGGGCCGTGATAAGGTCTTGTACTTGGTATATATCTTCCAGCCGTTTCTATTTTCTAGTTGTTCATTCATTGTGGTTTTTCGGTTGTTAAGAGTTTTGTTGATGTACCAGACGATTTGATCTAATATAATCATGTGCATTAAGTATTATTTGTGTGTTCTTGAAGCGTTATCTGATTTATATTCTGCATTCATTAGATAGTCTGATTGATATCTTGATAGGCTAAGTGTTTTGGGAGTTACAATTGATATCAGAGCTTTGTTAAGGTATCATTCGATTCAAGGACTTTGGATTTTCGTTTTCTTGTTGTTTTGGATTTTTGTTTCAATCAAAAATTGAGAAATTTTGATTTTCATTGATAATTTTTATTGTGTTCTTTGTGAAACTGATTTTGGTTTTACAATTGTTCTTAGGATCATCATTGTGATTATAAGCACTTTATTTGGAACCTTATCATTTAAGATCACGATTTTTAAGGCATATTGATCTGTATCAATTTAAAATCAAAAGAGTTTTCGGTGCCAAGCTTGTCAATGACTTCAAGATTCTCGGTATTTAAATTGATTAAGTTTTCTCATTCAAAAAGAAAAAAATTGATTTCGATCAAAATTGATTTCGGTCACATTTTGGTTAACTAGATTTAAAAATTGATTTAAATCCCAATAATCAAAATTGATTTTGGTTATTGTTTTTGGCCATTTAAAAGCAAGATTTATGTCATATTTTTCAAAGAAATTGATTTCGGTGTTCACTATTGGTGTTCTCGGTCAACAATCTTTGTTGACCTTTGGTATTTTCAGCAAATTTCTTTATTCGATATTATTCAAATGGAATCTCACATTACAACAAAAGAGGTAAGTAAAACCTCATACTCTCAATCCTGTGAGGATAAAATAAATCATTACCATGAACAAAACGAAATATTAGTAAGAGAGGTTTTTGACCTTAAAAATGAAATCTATAACATTAAGAAAGTCAATAAACCCTTAAAAGACAAAATTAGAGGCCCAAACCAAAGATCTAAAAAGAATTAAGGAATACTACAACACCAAATGTGAACGCTATGACTATGCTAAAGAGAAAATTGTCAAATTAATTGCCAAACTTGATGCATTAAAAGCTAAATATAAGGATGTTGAATTTAAATTTAAGAAATTTGATGTGTCAAGTGAGGTAGTTTTGTCCATGATAGAAAAACAGTTGAAATTCAAAGATAATCAGAATAAGGGTCTAGGGTATCATAGTGTTCCTCCTCCCTTCAATAATAACTATACCCAACCCCTTGAAACCAATGAGGTAGAGACACCGGCTCAGTATGGCCCGCCCCCTGTACCAGCTTCAGTTAAGACTGAATAATCCGGTCCAACTGAGAGTATTGAGGTGATTGATACTAATGCTTCTACTTCATGTGCATGTAAAGTAGTGGAAGACGAGAACAAGGTGAATAGAAATAATTCTAGTTATGTTAATTATGTTGATTGTCTAACCAATGACCCTTTGATATCTAAATATGTTGCTTCTAATTCTGTTACTTCTAATAAACCTGTTGTTGGTAAATACAGGCCACCAAAACAAATGAAGCAGACATCTTGCTGTAAGTGTGCTTGTGGGAACAATCAGAGACAATGCATGGGCACGGTACCAAGGACAGGTAGAAACAACTTCTACGTGAAGAAACAAACATTTTTCCACTGTGGAACACGTGGACACATTGTCAGAAATTGTCCAAATCATGCATATGTTTCCTACTATTATCCTTGTCGAAAATACCCGATACTCGAATTACCCGTCCGATTTTTTCGGGTATCGGGTAAATCGCGCATCGAGTAAGTTTTTTCGGGTAATCGGGTAACCCGATTTTTTTTTTCAGGTCGGGTAAATGGTACGTTTTTTGGGTTTCGGGTATACCCGAATTACTCAAATTATTATTATTATTATTATTATTATTATTATTATTATTATTATTATTATTATTATTATTATTATTATTATTATTATTATTATTTTGTAGGGTTTGTACTATGTCGCAGGTATTTGATCACACTTAAACTAACTATCATTATTCTAAAACATGAATATCTTTTATTATGACAATATGATACTAACAATATTAAAAGTAATTGTTTATATATCATCATGTTCTTTAAAACTTAACTTTTTTCTAGATTATAGTTTTTATTGCAACTAACAAACTCATTATGTTGACAAAACTTCAGAACATGGCAAAACTTATGGCTACAATTATCTTAAACATTTTAAACTTTTAAATTAAGATCTTTAAGTACTTGTTTTTTTTACCATCTTATTAGATTAGATTATGTAACATCCTTATTTTCGAGGGAAAAAATTTCATTTTTAATTACAAGATTCATAACATAGTTTACCAAACATTTTCAACGTCATATTAATTTATAAAAACCATAACAACGTGTCTGAAAACCATATCATCAAAAGTAATAAAAATCAGAGTACAATCCCAAAAATCTCCATGCATAAACCATATGAGTGTGTGATGTGTTGCTACTCTACCGACTCCTTCCCCTTAGACGAAGAGGTACCTGAAACCAAAACTGAAACTGTAAGCACAAAGCTTAGTGAGTTCCCCCATCATACCCATACCAAATAATGCATAACCGTCAGTATCTTTCAACCGGTAACTGGGAGCTACCCTCTCCTTCAGCATCTTTCAGCTGATAACTGGGACCTAGCCTCCCTTTCAATATCTATCAACCGGTAACTGGGAGCTACCCTTCCCTTCGGTATCTTTCAACCAGTAACCGGGAGCTGCCCTCCCCTTTGGTACCTTTCAACCGGTATCCGGGGACTATTCCACCCTTACTATTACTAATACATATCAAGCACAACAAGCATATCAAATACAATAATCATATCAAGCATAGTACTCATATCACACATCAATCCTAGATGCTTATCACAAAGACAACCATCGACGCAACACCCTTTCTGGTGGGTCGGCATTGTGGCCGTAGACCCACCCCTACTAGAAGAAAACTCACCTCCAAGTCATGTAGTGTCTGCACTACCCTTGGTGTGAAAGTCGGCTCTCCTCGACTCCTCAATCCCTACACGACAACCCTTTTAAGTTATCAACTTGTACTCACAACCCCTACAAGGGTCAACTCGAATCCAGGTCAAAGTCAAAGTTAAACCCTGGTCAAGTCAACTCTTTGGCTGACCAGACTCGTCAAGTTGGTTCGCCAACTCGTTAAGTCCCTTCGTCCACAGAATACTACAAACCCGTCCCCACTCGTCGAGTCTCGCAAGAGCTTGACGAGTTCACCTTCAACAACACTTCAGTCAATCTTCAACCGACTCGTCGAGTTCTTCCTTGAATTCATCGAGTTCATCTTTAGCATATGAATGTGTCCGGTCTATGACTCGCTGAGTTATATGAACAACCCGTCGAGTCCATCTTCATGGTTTGGGAGATTGCCTTGGACTCACCGAGTCCTAAGAACAACTTGTCGAGTCCTATGATTCCTAGGTCTCTTATGATCCTAAACAACTGAGGGACCTTCTATCCTAACATCTGGTCCAACAACATAAAGGATTTGGTGGTCATTACACCTGGACTCGTCGAGTCCTAAGAACGAATCGCTGAGTCCATCCCTGACCATTACTATACAATCCATTTGAATGGGTCTTAACACATAAAAACCATAGATCTGGCCTCCTAGTATCCATTTTACACGTAAAGCTTCAAACTTGGTGTACATGCATGGGGCCTTTGGCTAAAAAATCCATAAAATAAGGTCTACAAGATGCATGGGGTGTTTATGGCAACAAAGTTGGCACCTTTATGCCATAAAGACCCCCAATGGCCCCAGATCTGAAGTGAAAAACTCACTTCCACACTAAAACCCGAATACAACCTCACTAAGGCTTAGAAAAATGTAGGAAATGGTCCAAAATCAAGATCTAAGCAAGTAATAGCATAGATTTTCAGCTTTTTACCTCAAACAAGATAGAAATGTGCTCAAAACTTTGGATCTTCTTGTTTCCCCTTGATCTCACAAGCCTCCTTCTTCACTCCAAGCTTCAACCACACAAAATAACACCACAAGGCTCAAGAACACATAATAAATGGCTAGAGTTTTGAGTTAAGGTTTGCTCTGGACAATGGGGGTTGAGTTAGGGTGATATAAGGTGTTTAAATAGGGTGCAAACCCTCAATTTAGGGTTTCACTCACCAGAATGTACTCGCCGAGTCGGTCTTCCAACTCGTCGAGTAGACTACTTAAACTCCCCATGGGTCACGATCCTACTCGATGAGTTGGTCCTCCAACTTGTCGAGTCCCAAAGAAAAATAAAGCTTCTTTAATTAAACGCATACCAGAAATCAGGTATTACAAATCTCCCCCATTTATTTTAGACTTCGTCCTCGACTTCTGCTGCCGGGTCCTAAAAAAGCTCGGGTTAATGCTCCCTCATCTCGTCCTTCGGTTCCTAGGTCCATTATGAGCCCTTGTGGTGCTACCACTGCACCTTTACCAGCTCCACTCTCTTGTTCCTCAAATCCTTCGACTTCCTGTCAAGGATCACCACTGGCCGCTCGATGTAATTCAGGATGTCATCCACCTGAATATCCTATAATGGTACCACTGCCGAATCGTCCACTAGAAACTTCCGTAATTGAGAAACGTGAAAAGTGTTATGAATCTGACTGAGTTCGGTTGGAAGATCTAGCCTATATGCCACCTTGCCCACCCAGGCTACAACCCTGAAGGGTTCGATATATATGTGGCCCAACTTTCCCCACTTCCTGAATCGAATGACACCCTTCCAAGGTGACACTTTCCGGAGCACCATATGCCCGACCCGGAATTCCATGTCTGATCGACGCTTGTCGGCATAGCTCTTCTGATGAAACTTTTGCCTCAAGAAGTTCTTCCGCCCCACCACCTCCAGAGCACGATTTTGCATCTATCAAGCTAGCCAAGCTATGTGCGTTTCAAGACTCTATTCCTCAGTCATGAGGAAAAAGGTATATCTATTGGCTCAGGTCATGGAGGAGATGAAGACTCTCAACAAAGTATTTCTGAGCTAAAACAATAAATCGTAATTCTAAAGCAAGAGTCCATTGAGAAGGACCTGCTGATTGGAAATTTGGATGTGAAAGTTTTTGAGATTGAAAAAGAGAACTCTCAAAAGAATAAGCATATTTCAGATCTTCAGGCCAATCTTGGCGGATTAACTGCTCTTTATTTTGATCTCAGAGACAAATTGATTGGAAAATTTGGTGATGAGTTCATAACTTCAAGTTTTGATTGTGGAAAGGCTTCTGAATCGTCTGAGAGAGTTGTGGTCTCCCCTGCCCCAGATGCTAACATTGATGAATTTTTGTCCTCTGGCCCTATCACAGTTGAGGAAAGAAGGGAGAAGAAGAAGAAAATTGATAAGCTGAAAAAGGATAAGATACTTCTGATGAAAAACTCTGATCGGAATACACCTAGTGATCAACCACAGATGTTTATCAAAGAGATTGGAAAAAGAAAATTTTCTGATAGATATGGTGATCGTTCTGGAATTCGCATGTGGGGATATGAAGCTGATAAGAAAATGCGGATTGTGAAACGAAAGAGTGGAAAATTGAGTACTATGCGAAGAAGATTGACTTTGTGTCTTGGACAAAAGTTGATCTTGCAGAGCTGGTCCACGCACCGTTCCACAATCCAACAAATGATCCCAACATATGGGCATTTAAAAAGTTCCTTGAAGACAAAGATAAGATGAACTTTGAAGGCTTGAAAACAACATCATCGTTCATTAAAAATACCAAGGATGTTATAGATCCCCGTACCAACAAGACCATGGTAAATGGCATGTGGCCGCCTACGAATAAAGCGAAAAAGATCCCTATCACTCAGCGTGTACTTGATGGCTCTTTAAATGATTTATTATATTGGGTATATGATGAGGCGACAACGACTGTGGTAATTAAGACGAAAAAGGATGAGATTCGGCCTGCTGATCCTAGGGATTTACTGAAATATGGCGAGCATGACTTTCATACCTTGTCTAAACATCAACTTATGGTGGAGAACGAAATGTTTGAAGCTGCTACAAAGGCGTTCATTGGCATGATAGTGACTATCATTGATAAGAAGTTGTGGGTATGAGCTTTGGTTGAATTCGGTGTTCATCTTGTGGAGAAACCGTAATGTCAGTCAGCAATAAACCAATAGTGAGATTGTTGGGTCATATTTTAGTGGTTTATGTTGGGCTTATAATTTATTATTGTATTTGGGCTTAAATATATTTGTGTTAGTAGGCTTATTGGGTTTTCGGTTTTGGGGATGGGCTTGGGTCGTGATAAGGTCTGGTCTTGTACTTGGTATATATATCTTTCAGTTGTTTACATTTTTTGTGGTTTTTCAGCTGTTAAGAGTTTCCTTAATGTACCAGACGATTTGATCTAATATAATCGTATGAATTAAGTATTATTTGTGTGTTCTTGAATCACTATCTGATTTATATTTCACATTCGTTGGATAGTCTGATTGATATCTTGATAGGCTAAGTGTTTTGGGACTTACATATTTAAAAGAAAATTTTAATATAAAATTCAAAATATTTGAGAAGTTTGAATTTATAATAAAAGTGAAAAAAAATATTAAATTATAAAAACTAAAGTGTTTTTTTTTCTCTTGAAAATTTAAACAAATAATTTAGATAAATAAATAAAGAAAATTAATTAAACTTTAATTTAATAATTTTGAAATTAGAAATAAAATTCATTAACGAAATTGAGATGCATCTACTATTATATTTAAATAATATATGGAATTTAATAAAATAAAAAAACCATAAATGATATGCGGACTAAAAATTAATTTAAAATAACCATAAAATTACATATGATAAAATGAATAAAAATATAACATTGTGACGTAAAAATCTTTGTTTATTAGAATAAATAATTAGTACGATTACTCAATTCTCCCCATAGCAGGCATTCTATTCCTCCAACTGCGGAGTTGAACACTGCACTAACTTCGGCTAGTTTCTTTCATCAATCTCCCGGCTTTTGCTTAACTCTTTGTTTTGTAAATTAGTTGCTCCTCGCTCCAAAATACTAAGATTAAGCTACAACTGGATGTTGCGTCCCCCAAAAAATTATTCTTAAATACTCGGAATAATAATCAGATTCTCGTATGAGTTAAACATTTTAAGTACTATTAATCAAATTCTCATAAATGACAAATAAATTAATGAAATCAAACAATTTAACATGCTAACTCATGCATCGGCAAAAGCTTTTTCCGACAAGAAATTTGGTGGAAAAGTTAAAGAGATCATAAACAGGACTTTCTCCATAACGACACATGGCACCAATTTTCTTTCTTTATCGTTACAGATCATAAAGTAACCAAAACTTGTTTTTTCTTGATTTATGCCACGTAGATTATCAGTTAGGTTTTTCCAATCCCAGCAACAAAACAGATTTTATGCAGCATCAACAGTGATAGCACTAACAAAGAAAAACATCCATTAAACCTTGTTACACCAACAACACCTATACATCCATCTTTAAATTTTGAAAAAAAAAAAAAAATGAAAAATGAAAAAAAAGACAGAAACATATGCTCCAAACATGAAGCTTTCAACTGAAAAAACACCTATAAATTTATGATGAACTACTAGTTTGAGTTTCAATTATCCGAGGACCCATATACTCAATCCCCTCCATTTCTGATTCTTTTGGCACCTCGATCTCTTCTAACCACCAATAATCCTCCCTCTTCCTCTCTTCTCCCGACATATCTGAAAGTTTCATCATTTTCAAATTAGTTAATTTGGTTTTATATTTCTTTATTAAAACGGTATCAAACTAAAACACTTAAATTATTCTTACATGGCAATGTAGTGTACGGAATGTCTCTGTAATAAGAACAATCACGCCCATCTTTTTTAGAATAAGGAGGCCCCATAACATCAAGAATCGCACAAGGTGTTATAGCTCTGAACGCATGTATATTACCTCCAGAAGTTGGATACAATACAGAAGTGTCACATGGAGCAGAATATACGCCATCTACTTTTAAACTCGCCAATTTCACTGCAAAACATTCAAATTAATATCTTCAATTGTGTTTAACCTTTAACTTATTTGTATATTTATAATTAGAGAGATGAGAAACTCACTATGCGAAGGGGATATAGACTCATGATTTGAATCACTGGAGTCGACCAAATCATACGATTTAATATGCACTTTTCCAAGTAGAAGTTTGTTGAAAACCGTCATTCCTGGGTGGTTGTGAAGAGGTATGACAGCATTTGCAGGAAGAAAGAAGATGCATAGCTGTAGAAAGTAGAAACATATGAGTTTCAAGATATAAGAAATTTTTAAAATGAGATGATTGATAATTGTAAATGTTTCTAAATGCTTACAGAGAATTTCTCAGATTGGTATATGGTAGTACATGCGACTTTTGGAGTTACTCCTACGATGCTTCTAGTTTTAAAGAATTGCAGATTTCTACTTAGTCCAACATCTTCTGCCATCATTCCATCTGTAACAGGATTTAAGCTTAGTTATAAATTTCATGATAAGAGTGTATATAGCTAGATCCAGATCTATTTAAGAAAGGTGACTTGATGATGAAGTTAGGTAATGAAGAATGTAAAGCAAGAAATGTAGTTTTTTAGATTTAATTATACTTCAATGTTGAACAAAGTGACTATTACATCTTTACACGTCCAATTGAGATCGAATTCATGTACTTTATGCATTGTGGTTTTGTAATACTAAAGTAAAGTTGGAAATTGTTATCGAATTGTTGGCCATTGATGAAATTAGGGCATAATATCAAATCAAGTACAGGTTGAACGAAATTTGTCGACAAAAGCAAATCGAAGAATCTCCTACATGAGGGGGTACAGTAAGTTAATTAGCATTTAGCAGTGACTACTCGGTGATGTTCTATTGTAAGATTCTAACTTTATCCAAATATAGCAACAAACAATCACTGTAACGAACGTGTGAACTATAATCCAAAAAAGCAAATCGCTCACCGAGAATATGGCAAAGTTTCTGAACGTCGGTAGGAGAAGGAACAGTTCCGACGCCTTTGAACACGTCTTTACAAGACATATACAGCCTCTGTAACGGAAACGATACCGGCGTCGACGTCGGAGGCGGCGGAGACTGTTTCCTCTTACTATTGGTTTTCCGATAGCATTTTTTCTTCCTTATACTCTTGCTCACACCAGCCAACCTTACCTCAATGGTCATCGATCGATCGATTAAAATACACAAACAACTCGATCAAAAACCTCAGATCCGAATCCGATCACAAAGCAGTATGACAACCGATCAACTAAGATTAAATTCTAGGAAATATACAGTAGCCGTGTGTTAGCTTCTTTGAAGTTTGAAGTGTGGACAAAATTGGTGGTGGAAAAGTGGGAGAATGATGAGATATAAGCAAGAGATGGAGGTGGCGGCAAGGGAAAACCAGGGGCGGCCATGGATAGGATTTCATGTTTTAGAGAGAGAAAGTTTATGAGAGAGAAAGTAGTTTCATTTCGCGACCACTGTTTCTCCATGAGCGGTGCATTTTGTATGTGAAATTACTGCTTTGCCACTTTGCTAGATATTTTTTTCTTGATGCTGCTTATGTTCTTTTTGTTTTTTATTAAATACCTTCCATTAATGGCATATTTTCTTTAAAAAAAAAAAAATTATTATAGGAAAAAAAAAATTATATGATTGACTATTTAACTTATTTTTTTCCGCATTCACTCGTTTTAATCGGTTATTTCATGGTAAGTCGAAAAAAATTTAATATGGTAATATTATTTTCAGTACCTATACATTTAGTTTTTAATGTAGTTTTTAACGTTTTTATACACATTTAATTCTTATGACCGGTTTCTTCAGGTTTTCTCATAGCATCCCACGTAAGACAATCATATGAGGTGTTTTCATACGTGGTCCGTCACTCACTTATATCAGTAACCTAATTAATGAATCAGTCAAATAATATTGATGCCTTAGTTTTCTCCAAAAATAAGATGTATTCGGCTACGGGTTCATCTAATTCTATAGCAAACAACAAGCTTTTTTTGTATTCGAAGTGCAAATTCGAGTTGGGAAGAAGCAATCATAAAGAATCTCGTTGTGTACTATGGAAATAGATGAAATTTTTGGTCAGGATGTTATTTTATCTTGGAAGTGCAATTTTTTAGCGTTTTTCTTAATTCTTTTGTCTTGGAAGTGCAAATTCGAGTTGGTAGGAAACAATAACAAAGAATCTTATTGTCTGCTATGAAGATAGATGAAACCAAAGCTAAAGATATCTTCTACTTGGAGAAAACTAGAACACCAATATTATTTGACCAATTCATGAAATAGGTTACTGGTATAAGTTAAAACGATCCATGTATGAGAACACCTCATTAATGATTGTCCCACATCGAATGTTACGTGCAAAATCTGAAGAAACTGATCATAAAAACTAAATGTAAAACATTAACAACTAAATGTGTACAAACTGAAAATTATATTACTCAATAAGTCATTTTTTCTGGCTTAACCTAGAGTAACCAGTTATAAAGACTGAATGTGGATAAAAAAAAGGTTAAATGGTCAAATATGGGTAAAAAACAATCACTAAATGTGTACAAAATAAAAATATTACCCTATTAAGTCAATTTTTTTTATCATTTATTCATTTATTATTATTTTTTTGTAGATGCCTAGAATTGAACTTATAACGTGTTGGAAA